GCTCCTGGCTGGCTCAGTCAGTTAAGCTTCCAACTCTTAATTTCAGCTCAGGGCACGATCTCATGGTTTGTGGGATCGAGCCCCGCATCGGGACACTGATAGTACAAAGCCTGCTTGGGAATCTCTCCTCTCACTCTGCCCTCCCCCACTCATTCTCTCTCTCTCTCTCTCTCTCTCTCTCTCTCAAAATAAATAAATAAACATTTAAAAAATGCCAAAACTGGTTTTATATTCTCCAGAATGTAAATGGGCTGAAACTGTCCTATAGCTTTGCTATTGGCATTAAAAAAAAAAAAAAAAAAAAAAAAGCAATTTATGATAAACAGCATAGTAGCCATTTTTTCGTTTTGAGAAATTCACCACCAATAAATAGGGGGAATTTTACCTATGTAAATCATAGCTCGATAAACCCGGCTTTGAAAAATGAAATAAATTTTAAATATTACCACCACCAACAAAAAATGTCTGTGAAGCAGTTAGGATTGTGTTTAACTACTCAATAGCATCAGGCCCTTCCTCTTTCACTTCTGCCCTCCTTAATATGCTTCATTCAGCCTCTGGGGCCTTTACTCCCCAAGGCAAGGGAAATTAAGCAAATGAGGAGAAGGATGGCTTTCCTGTAGGCAAGAGGGGTGTCAACCTCAGTCAGTCTTGAGTTGGTTGGGCATTCATTCCAGTTTCTTACATTTTCCATGTGTACATCTCCAGTAACATTGCATATACTATGACTGTTATTGCCATCATGCAAAAAACTCAGAACACATTAGAGAAATTAAGGAAACCAAGGGCATTTGGGTGGTTCAGTCAGTTGAGTGTGCGACTTTGGCTCAGGTCATGACCTTGCAGTTCGTGAGTTCGAGCCCCACATTGGGCTCGCTGCTGTCAGCCTGTCAGGGTAGAGCCCACTTCAGATCCCCTGTCTCCCTCTCTCTGCCCCTCCCCCGTTTGTATGTTCCTCCAAAATAAGTAAATATTAAAAAAAAAAAAACAAAAACAAAAAACAGAAATTAAGGGACGCCTGGGTGGCTCAGTCAGTTAAGCGTTCGACTTCAGCTCAGGTCATGATCTCGTGGTTCGTGAGTTTGAGCCCCGCATGAGGCACTGTGCTGATGCTCAGAGCCTGGAGCCTGTTTCAGATTCTGTGTCTCCCTCTCTCTGACCCTCCCCTGTTTGTGCTCTGTCTCTCTCTGTCTCAAAAATACATAAACGTTAAAATAATAAAAAAAAACAAGATCCTGGTGGCTCAGTCGGTTAAGCGGTTAACTTCGGCTCAGGTCATGATCTCACAGTTTGTGAGTTTGAGCCCCGCATCGGGCTCTGCACTGACAACTCAGAGCCTGGAGCCTGCTTCAGATTCTGTGTCTCCCTCTCTCCTTGCCTCTCCCCTGCTTATGCTCTGTGTCTGTCTCTCATAAATGAATAAACATTAAACAATTTAAAAAAAAATTCAGGAAGTAAAGCACTTAAAAGGGGAATGGTTTAAAATCATGGAATCTCAGAAAACCTCATCAGCTTTTTTGTTCCATATTGAAGAATTGGGGCACCTGGGTGGCGCAGTAGGTTAGGCGTCCGACTTCAGCCAGGTCACGATCTCGCGGTCCGTGAGTTCGAGCCCCGCGTCAGGCTCTGGGCTGATGGCTCAGAGCCTGGAGCCTGTTTCCGATTCTGTGTCTCCCTCTCTCTCTGCCCCTCCCCCGTTCATGCTCTGTCTCTCTCTGTCCCAAAAATAAATAAACGTTGAAAAAAAAAATTTAAAAAAAAATAAATAAATAAACATATTGAAGAATTGACACACACCAAGCTTAGAGTCACCTAATATCCTGGGATCTTCTAAAATGAAAATTGCTATTAATTCACGATTCCCTTCAAGTCTTTGCTTAACCATTTCAAAGTTTCAACCCATCCTTTGATAAGATTCATTAGTAAATGAGTTAATTAGCATTTGTAACCCCCCAAATTCCCAGAGCACAAACAAAATATTTATTTAGACTAGTTATATAAATTAAGAATAAACCTGCAAGCAACATGGGCAAAAATCAAAAATATGATGCTGAGTGCAAGAAGTCTAACACAGAGGGGTGCTTGGGTGGCTCCGTCGGTTAAGCGTCCAGCTCTTGGTTTTGGGCCAGGTCACGATCTCACGGTTCGTGGGTTCAAGCCCCACACTGGGCTCTGTGCTGACGGCACAGACCTTGTTTAGAATTCTGTCTCCCTCTCTCTCTGCCCCTCCCCTGCTCTCTCTCTCTCTCTCTCTCTCTCACACACACACACACACACAAAAATAAATAAACATTAAATTTTTTTTAAAAAAGAAGTCTAACACAGAGAGTGTACCCTGTGTGGATTCCAATCTTTGACATCTAAGAATGGACAGACGTCCATCATTTATGATGATAGTCATCAGAACAGATGTGGGGTAGAAGAGACTGAGTGCAAAGGAACCAAGCACTGTCTGGGGAGATGGAAATATTCTGTTTTTCATTTTGGGTGGTGTAGACAGCCATCAAAAGTCATTGAACTGAACACTTGATATTTTTCCATCTTAACTGAGTTCCCTATACTTCAGTGAAGACCATTAAAAATAAAGATTAAATTTGCACACTGAGAAACTACCTAAACGGTCATCAAGAGGTGATTGGTACAAAGAAACGGCACAAATGATGGTAGGACCCACGCACTGAAATACGATGCAGCTGTAAAGAACAACGAGGCAGGCCTATCTCTACTGAAACAAGATGATCTCAAAGACAGTTCTTTTTTTAAAGTTTATTTATTTATTTTGAGACAGAGAGAGAGAGAGAGAGAGAGAGCAGGGGAGGGGAAGAGAAACAAGGAGAGAGAGAATTCCAAGCAGGCTCTGTGCTGTTAGGGCGGAACCCAGCATAGGGCTCGAACTCAAAAACCATGAGGTCGTGACCTGCGCTGAAATCAAGAGTCTATCTTTTAACCAACTGAGCCACTCAGACGCCCCTCCAAGATAAGTCTTTAAGTTAAAAAAGGAAGGTGTAGGCAAGTATGTAGAATCCGCTGTCACTCGTGGATGTTTGTATCTGTACAGAACTACTCTGGATGGACACACAAGGCGCTGGGTGAGTGTGGTTATCTCTGGGGATAGAAGCGACAGAAGTGATGGAATGAAAGAGGGTGGAGGAAGACTAAATTTTCGCTGTATTTCAACATGACTTTATTATTTTGCGGTACAGTCCAGTTCTAATTATAAGAGCTTAAATTATTAATACGGACGATTATTAGATGTTACTGTAACCGCGGCAACCAGCTACAAAGCAGATATACTGGAATTGTCTCTCAGGTTGAGTTCGTGTCAGCCCTGCCATTGAAAGTTTGATTACTACCATGTCCAGAGCTGGAGGAAGTTTTTCTTCCCCGTTCGATATGTGGTATAATTACAATTTCATGTAAAAGTTCCACGAAGGGCCTCTTGATAAACCCTCCTGGTTTATTTTCTGGGGTGAACAGTTGACCTTCACTGTTGCTATTGGATCAAGATACGTCTTCACAAGGACTTATTTCACTGTATATTTCTGAACCATTACAATACGTTACCATGTGCATATGATCTACTTAAATAAATTAAATTAAAAAGAGTAAAGATACAGAGGAAGGGCTAAGAAGAGGCAAAAATGATTTGCAGTAATTAAGGTAATCCAGACACTAACATGGAGTGAATTTATCTGCCTTGCCTGTCAATCAATCTTCCCTAAGATGGGCATATCACAGATCTGGCTTCGCCTCTCAGTTGGCACTTACTGTATCATCCTTGAGATCTTGACTAACCTTCTCTGTACATATGGTTTATCATCATGGCTAGATTGTAAGTGACCTAGTCTTTTTTTTTTTTTTTAATGTTTATTTATTTTTGAAGGAGAGAGAGACAGAGAATGAGTGGGGGAGGGGCAGAGAGGGAGGGAGACAGAGAATCAGAAACAGGTTCCAGGCTCTGAGCTGTCAGCACAGAGCCCGACGCGGGGCTCGAACTCACGGACCGAGAGATCATGACCTGAGCCAAAGTCGGATGCTTAACCGACTGAGCCACCCAGGCATCCCATAAGTTACCTCGTCTTACCCTTGGGGGGGGGGGGGGTACCTACACATTCTCCACAAACTAGAAAAAAATAATTTATCTAGCTAGTTGGAAGCTAGATAAATGTTCCATCACTAAAGTCAGTAAGTAATAGTGTGAAGGTTCTGTGTATCTTAATACCTAAGATCATTGTTAATTATCACATGAGACGATGGTTAACCCCAAAGAGGTTCTGACCACTTGAGACTATTTTTGTAGCTTTTGCTTTCATATTTCAGTAGTAGACTGATACAATATCCAAGATTTGTAAGTAAAATATGCATAAATCAAATCCTCCTTTAAGTGTTCCAAGGGCTCATTATTTAAAATGTTGTACCTCTCTGCCTTTTGTTATGGATATAATACTCCCACCAGTACAATTGCAATAGCTTTGTGATATGAATAATGGTAGTATGATTAATCTGTTTCCTAAATTCAAAAGTCCAGATCATACAGTTCCTAAAGCAAGCCTCGGCTATGCTTGGATTAACACCAAAATGCCTTTTTTTTTTTTTGTGGGTCATACACTTAAACCCTAACTTACTCTCCCTTTTTATTTTTATTATTGGATGAGTGTGAATGCAATTACTAAAGGAGAAAGGAGACGGGATTATAAAAGACAAAGGCATAATCCTAGAATATTGGAAAAATGGAGACCCAGGAACTGTGCCTAACAATGAGCAAGGCAGTCCCTGGGAGAACAGAAGTCACTTACCCGGGAAGGGGGGGAGGCAAGGGCTTCGGGTGCTCCCCGCCTCTGGGGAGGGGAGGCCAAGGAAAGAACAAAACTAAACAAGCTCTTGAATCTAAAGCAGGTTGAAATCCGAGAAAACGGTGAGGAGACGTTTAAGAGCTGGGCTAGGTCAGGGCTGAGCTGATTGTTTATCCCTGATTTTGGTTTTGATTTTTTTTTTCTTAGGGCAGGATTCTTTGCTTGTTTCTTGTTTGTTCACTGCACGTGTACATTGGAGAATTGGTCTGAAGCACCGGGACAAGCCATTACCTCGACCCCTGTCACTGCTTATGAGAAAGTAGCTTCCTCAGGATGTCTCCCATCTCCACCTTGCAAAGCTAGCTCTCCGGCACTAACACAGGACCAGGAGGTGGGAGAGGGACAGCAGCCACTACTATTTGCCTGGTTCGTTGTCTCCATCCGCCTGTCCGGAATGTGAGCTCCGGGTAGGGCAGCATAGTCATCTCTTTTGGACACTACATATATCGCCAGCACCTAGGACAGCGCCTGGTACATTGTGGACACTCGATAAGTCTTTGTTGAATAAATGAACAAATTGGTTGTGAGCCTACTGTCTTGCTTTCTGATCAGAATGGCAGGATTCAGGGGCGCCTGGGTGGCTCGGTCGGTTAAGCGTCCGACACCGGCTCAGGTCATGATCTCATAGTTCGTGAGTTCGAGCCCCGCGTCGGGCTCTGGGCTGACAGCTCAGAGCCTGGAGCCTGCTTTGGATTTTGTATCTCCCTCTCTCTCTCTGCCCCTCCCCTGCTCACGTTCTGTCTCTCTTTCTCCTTCTCCCTCTCTCAAAAATAAATAAACATTAAAATTTTTTGAAAGAATGGCAGGATTCAGAGGACAGAGACAGGAGAGTGTCAAGCACTGTGCTTTTCATTGCTCTTTTCATGAGGTAACTAATTGGTGGGAATCGACCTACGCCAATTTGGTCATTCAACAGTTGCTGTTATTCTGGTAAGCATTAGTCACTCTTGGCCATTGAGATGGATGAAAGTCGTCAATCTCCTCTTTTCCAATCTCCCCCAACCCACCACATAGCAAGATGGTGTATTACAGGGCAAGCCTACCTGGACCAGACTGGCGCCTTATAAAAGTGTTGGCATTACCAGCAGACAGGCACAAAACGGTCACACAGCCTGTTCGTGTCAGCGCGGGGAAGCCACTTCTTGTCCTCAGGCCTTCTGACTTCACTTTGCCTGAGCAGCAACCTGGGAGACTTTCTGTGACATTCAGATGGGTGGCTGATCCACCCAGCAGGCACCCAGCAGGCACCCAGCAGGGGGCCTGTTGAAAGCTTTTAGTCAAGCTCCTACCCTAAATGACAATCCTGTCACCGGTAGGGGGAAAAATCGTGTTACATCGTAAACACCAGTTCATGAACTTTCTGGTGTAGATTTTGTTAACGATACTTGAAATGCTTTAAACAACCACCCCAGAGGTGAGAATTCCCGATTAGGTTCTTTAAATACCGCATAACTGCCTCTTCCTTCCCTTGGGGGCTCCCTTCACCCATTGCAGGGAAAAGTTAATTTACGCAGACACATAGGTTCATTCCAAGGTACCACTGGCTGACCCCAAACTATCCAATTGTCTCTGCCTTTCTGGAGTAAAAAAGGGAAAAGCAGAGCCTCATAAAACACGACATGCTCGGCCTTGTTCAAGGAGCTGTACGCTCCCGGACCCTTTACAGCGATGCCACTATGGTTATGATGATTGTAAAAGCCGAGGAAGCTAAGGCCCAGGGAAGTGAAATAACAAAACATCCAAGGTCATGCTGCTGCTAAGTGGTCAGGGCCGAGATGCAAACCCACTGTTGAATTTCAGAGCCCACACTGTGAACCACGGTGTTCTGCCACGTTTCCTTCTGAAAATAAGAATTATTGCAACAGGGGGACCTGCACGACGCAGTCGATGAAGCCTCTGACTCTTGGTTTCGGCTCAGGTCGAGATTTCGTGGTTCATGGGATTGAGCCCCATTTCCTGCTTTGAGCTGATGGCTCAGAGTCTGCCTGGGATTCTCTCCCTCTCCCTCCCTTTCTGCCCCTCCCCTGCTCGCCTTCTCTCTCTCTCTCTCTCTCTCACACACACACTCTCACAAAATAAACATTAAAAAATGTTTAATAGGGGTGCCTGGGTGGCTCAGTCGGTTAAGCGTCCGACTTCAGCTCAGGTCACGATCTCAGCTCAGGTCATGATTTCACGGTCCGGGAGTTCGAGCCCTGCATCGGGCTCTGGGCTGATGGCTCAGAGCCTGGAGCTTGCTTCTGATTCTGTGTCTCCCTCTCTCTCTGTCCCTTCCCCGTTCATGCTGTGTCTCTCTCTGTCTCAAAAATAAACGTTAAAAAAATTTTTTTTTAATGTTTAATAAAAAAAGAATTATTGGAACATTACAAGTCCTCAGAGTCCCCAAGATTTCTTTACCCCTTTTTTGCTTTGAAGGCAAACGCGTTAACCGACAACTGCCATGGAAGTTGCCGGAGCACAGGGGCAGTTTGAACAAATTCGTGCAGGGGCGCCGGCTCAGGAATTATACCAATATCCTATAGTTCCCAGTATCTTTTCCAGCCCCAGCGGGAATTTGATTTTTGAGGAGCCGAAGAAGACATAATATTCTGACCACTCCTTTACCACGTTTGAAGGTAGAAAATTATTGATTAAAAGCTCAGGTCTGCTAAATGTAGTGGTAAAATGTGAATGTTTGGCGTGTTTGGAAAGTAACAGCTCTAAGGCAGGATTCTACTCTTTCATGCCGAAAGGAGCTAGCAGGAGACATCACTGAGATGCTTCCAGTGACTCATTATTGCGAAGGAGATAAGAATGTGGGCTTTGGACTCAGCAAGACGGGGTTGGAAGCCCAGCACGGCTGCCACACGTACATCCGTGTGGGCTACGTTACCTCTCTCAGCCTCCATGCTTCACTTACGAAACGAGAATATGTGCCTAGCCCGCCACAGACCGTGATGTGCCGTAGCAATTACTAGAATGTTAATTATCCCCAGGCCGTTTGCGTTTATTTCAGGCTCTTGAGGACATGCTGTCTCCAAATCACAAAAGGAAAAAGGATTTCCCTGACTTTGCACATTGCCCTCCCCAGAAAGCCGCTCAGCACCTTGCTTCCAGTGTGCATATTTTGAGAACTCTGGTTAGTGGTGTATAATCAGGCTGCCTGGGTTGGAAGCGGGTTTATGCCCCAGGCAAGTTCTATGTAGCCTGCTCTCTGTGATCAGGCAGGACAAGCCAAACTCAGGTTGTTCTCTTTGGCTGACCTTTCCCTCTCATGGGAAGATGTCATTTTCAATAGCTAAAGGGCTGCTTTGTGAATGTAAGAGGTAGATTTCCTGTGCGGGAGGCAGAACTAGAACCAGAAGGTGGAAATTTTCCAGGAGTAGATGTAGATTCAGTGGAATAGGGAGCAATGATTCTCCACATCGCTGGGAGTATTCAAGGAAGCTTGGCGATTATAGGCCAAGACTGGTGGAGAGGATACTCTTGCTGTAGATGGAACGTGGGACTAGAAAAATCCAAATGATGGTGAGAAGAGTAATAAAAACTGTAGTTTCCATTTGTTGAAGTCGTGTGCCCAAAGTACACTAAGTGCTTCCCATATTTTGGTTCCCTTCATCCTCACAGGAAGCTTTCCATTACTAAGCCAAAGTTCAGAGAGGTTGAACTGCTTACTGAATCTCATACAACTGGAATAATTAACACTGAGATTTGAATCCAGACCCACGCTATTATTTTATAATTTCAGTTGTGGAATATCTGCTTGTTATAAAGTCATCCATGAGAACAGTGAGGCTGTTTATTGGAGATAAAAAAAAAAACGACATCTGAAGCTATGAATGACAGAATCATGTGATATCAGCCTCAGCATCCAAATTATATTTTTATATTGTTTTTGGTGCACAGTATTGTAAACGGTGCAGTGTCTTTCTGTCCTCTTTGATATCTCTGGATACCCTTCAGTTGGACTAATCCAGGAGTTGAAGAGAAGATCAGGACGTTTTGTGTGAAGTCTGAATCATTAACACTATCTAACAACCACACGCCTGCCTTATCGTAACACAGAAGTCAGACGAGAAGTTCCCAAAGCCTGAAGAAACTGCTAAAACAATCTATGATATGATCGGACCATCACATGGCAGTTACTCAACATACTCTTCTTCTGAGGGGTGGTGGAACACGGTCGTTAAGAACGTCAACTTTGACACGAAGTAGCTCAGCTCCACCGATAACTAATTCATTCACCCTGAGTAAGGGGTTTACACGCTTTGAAGCCTCAGCTTTATAAGCGAGGACTGTCATGAACTGGCCAAGCCAATCTGCTCCTTTACAACTCTGACATTCTTTTGGGAAGATAGACGTAACCTCTACTAGGTCTCTCCTGTGGGATTCTGGACACAGGAATTATGTTGCAGTCACCAAGTTCTGCTAAATGTGCAAGCGCTTATTAAATAGTCATTCAATCTTATTTTAGGTAAGCTCAGGAAATGCCAATTCTCTGCCCTTTTAAATACTTTGAAAGCACCCTACATGAAAGCTTCTGTTCAGGCAAGTGCAGCCATATTCTTGCAGCAGGACTCGGCTAACCTTCTAGTCGGTCAATCCTCCATTAAATGGCTATATCCAGAAGAAAGTTGAGTATAGGAATGGCTATATCCAGAAGAAAGTTGAGTATAGGAAACCTAAGTATAGGTTACCATTCAAAGGTTATGGGCTATGTGGCTAGCTGGGTTCCTATTTCCTATACATTCAAGGGTAGTAGTGCCTATTCAGTGTTTCTAGTCGAATCACTCGTTCTTGAACACTATTCAATTCTCCAATGAAATATCACTTCTAACATCCATTATGCTCATTAGAAAGCCTTCTGGTATCGATCAGAAATAATGAGAGTGGGGCTTGAGTTTTGAATTAGAGTCTTTAGAATGCTAACTAGCCCGCCCCCCCGGGGGGGGGGGGGTTTTCATTTAAGAACTAAAAATGTTAACTAACACCTCCAGATACATATTAAAGTTAACACATGCTACACTGAAATATTTTAAAGCGAATTACAGGTAATGTACCAGGGGTACAAGAACCCCTTACAGGAATGTTTGTGAGAATTAATAATAGCTAATATATATATCAAATGCTTACCATGTCTCCTCTACTATACTCAATAAGCGTATCTTCTCACTTATTCATCATAAAAACACGATGAGGAAGATATTAAATGGCTTTTAGTTAAATAATCAAATACATAGTCAAATATTTCTTTGACCATTAGTCAATTGACTATTAGTCAATTAGGGTTATTCCGAGTGCACAATAAGCACATAATAAATGGTAGGTCTGACTATAGCACTAATCTAGAGCATGCATTATTCCATGGTCTCCGATGTGTTAAATATGGCAGATTGCACATTTGGGTGTATGTGTAATTTTTTAAAGGCTTAGGTGTTTAAATGTTTACCAATATCTATAAACGAAGTTTGAATCAAACATTTGTGAAGTCTCTGAAGCACTTGCCTCCATGAACTCCCAGCTTGATGACCATTGACCTCAATGCCTA